CGTGTGAGTGAGGCTACCGAAGGCCCAATTACCCTCCTCTCCAATCTTCCCAATCTTCGAATCCCCAATAATCGTCAAATTCGTAATCCCCAAAAAGCCGGTTATGCACTTGTAACACCTCTGGTGTTTCGAGTGTCTATGGACAGCGCCAATTGCTTATCATCGGAAGATCTGTCTGCTCATTTACCGAATTGAATCGTAACAAATCTAACAAGCCATAAATAGCCATCTTAACAATAAAAATAACCACAGAATTCATAACACAATCTAATTTTTCAAAACTAATTAGAATATAACAATTTCAAACCTAGACAAGGCAGTGGAACCGGGACGTAATTTCCCATAGCTTTGTACTAAGTCTAGACTAAGACAGTACCTGGAATCGATCCTGTGTACACATAGTTACACATAAAATTATACATAACCAGTTTATTCTGATCTCGGTTTGTATGATCTTTGCACACATTTAAAGTTTAGTTTATACTGGTCTTGTGTAGTTTCGTGTGTAGCGTGTGGACATGGGGATTACGGTTTAGCTCGCGGACTGTACAGTGGTATTGTACTGGTTTTAGTGTCCAGTGTCTGAAATGTGTCGCGGAGAACCTAACGGGTAACCGGGGCTCCGACTCGACGTGCAGGAGTAGGGACGGGGTGGTTTTTAGTCAGTAAGAGTCTGAAACTCTCTCCCGCTGAACCCGGGCGGGAGAAGTCATTCGATGATTTTCACCGTCATGTCATTAGCCTTCCTAGATCAAGGATATTGACCCAAAAAATATCAATAAACATGACCAAAAACAGAAAGCGAGTACATCCCAAAATCTGCTACGTACACACATACATACATACATCCAGTCATAAAAGTGTTTGTTATCGGCACCGCCGTACTTCCGTACATATGTTAAATAAAAGAAGTTTTATATCTGCTTTTTACTGCCTCGACGGCCATCGTAGATATCCATTACGCTAAATCAAGGATGTCTCGGGCTGATAAAGCTGATTAGTTGTGTAGAGCCACCCCTGTCCTTATGGTTGGGTTTTTGGGTTATTGAATTTGGTAGAAGAATTTGTGGAGTAGGTTTTGTGATTATTTTTTATTAGGTTTTATTTTTATTTTTAAATCTCGATCACATTGATTAATTTGATCAATGTTTTGAAAAAATAGCTATTATTAAATACGAATTGAAATTTATAAAATTAAACATGTAAGGTTGCCATTTCATTCACCTGTCATCCTTGAATAGCGAAGATTATTCTTACAATAAAAATGTTCCTACTTACTCCTTCATACTGCCTTTTCTAAGTTTTAACTTTACTTAAGTTAACTGATATACTTAATAATAAAATAAAATCACCCTGAAATTGAATTGACATCTCGTACCTTACAATGAACTTTAAGACTGCATGTTACTTACTGGTTACTGGTAATATAACTGTTAATGTTTCTTCTACTATACTTAAAATATACATATACATTATTATTATGTATTAAACTTTATTGCACATATAGTGAAATTGGCGGACTTAATCCCGTAGGCATTTTCTAACAGTCGACATAATTATTATAGAATCAAATACCTGACACCATTCTCTGTATGTCGAATTTTAAATTTTCGTAGCAGTTTTGGTCCGTCTACGAAACTTCGTAGCGCGTAGCAACCGTAGCACCTAGCTTGTAGCCAACGTAATTGTGGAAACATAAATAATTCGCCTATTATTTATTTTTAGACTTTTAATAATATTCGGCTGCTATTTCCTTCTGGAATTTATTAATTTCCTAGTTTCGAGGTTAGCATTGAGTCCTAACCAGTTTTGACTGAAATTTAATACTTTTTAATACCACTTTCATTAATATCTAATACAATATATGTGGCATGTAATTAGAAAGTTATTGAGTTAAGCCTTAGTTCAGCAACATATGTCTGAGTAGCAAAAACATATTTTCTTAACAAATAAAAACATAATAAAGTTATATAAAGGGCAGACGTATTATAAATATCTCGAAGATTAATTAGTAACACCTCACTGAGATTACTCATTAGACACTTAACAGGTGCTAATTAATCGGATTAAGTAATCATATTAGCAGAATGCACATTCTATATACAATCAAAGTCATGTATATACATATGTATACCTAATGTCGACTTCTTGTAATATAAAAAAGAAACAATAATATACTGACCTCTTTTTTATTTATTTATTTATTTATACATTTGGAAAACCAACAGTTAAACAATTTGATTAAATAGAATGTGGTGTGCAACAAAAAGCCAATTACTGAATTAACTAAAATCGCGATTACTCACGTAAATATATGTACTAAGAAAAACTCTACTAGTTTCGAACCACAGAGGGGTTCTTCCTCATAAGCAGCGTGCGCGGTCGCGGCGACGTCGCGCAATTCACTGGTTTCCATGATTAATAACAGAGAGTAAAAACATGCCAACACAATACTAAAATACTTATAAAACTTATTAATCACAGGCAATCTGTATGTATGTATATTAAAATAATGATATTGTTTACTGTTGCATAATGATAAGTATGTAGTTACGTTTTTAGAAATAAGATGTCTTCCTATAAGTGTAATGTATAGAGCTCCTTTCGCCTGCGATACAGGATTATCCTAGTGCAGGCATCTAACTTTATGAGATCAATTTTACTTACTTGAAACATATTTTTGTATTTTGCATTTTTGATTTATTTATTTATTTTATTATTTTTTTAATGATGCACAAATTATTCCAAATATTAAGGACCGTATAGGTACCTACTAAGAATTAAAGCAATCAAGATTCATCGGCTGCGCGCCACAGTGAATTTTGTGTTAAAGGGTCGAAAGAAAAATCTTTACTGATTACATAACATCACGCCTTTTATCCCCGAAGGGGTAGGCAGAGGTGCACATTATGCCACTGTACAATGTAACACCCAATTTTCACTATTTATGTTATGAGTCCCATGTAATAGGGGGTGAGCCTATTGCCATATACCGGGCACAATTCCAGACTCCGTGCTACTACTGAGAATTTTTTTAAAACCCAGTAATATTTTGCCCGACTCGGGAATCGAACCCGAAAAATTGCGACCACTCGGCCAGCGAGGCAGTCATGTTTACTCATCTTTACTAAGTTTATTAAAATCATTGCTCGCTCGCACAATATACGAATTACTTCAATAGTTGGTTGAGGAAGAAGGTATCGATATCGGTACACTGAACCTAAATGAGTTATTGATATTTATACTTGATAGGTTTATGTTTGACCACCATCTCGCCTGGTGGTAAGCGATGATGTGACCGATGATGGAACACGCCATCTATAAGCAACCTGTTCACTCGGGACTTGAGACCCAAGTTGTATTTGACGGACAACACTGATTCTGGCAAGGAATTCAATTCTTTAGCAGTTCACACAAGGAAACTTGACTCCTGTGAGTTGATTTCAGAGTTCGATGATCGGCCCTTTATTTCACTGTTTGTCGTAATTACACATTTAAATTAATATCAACCTGTTATGATATATATATACTGAAATGATTATCAAAGTGTCTATTTCATACTTCTACATATTTTTACTACGAATAGTTTCCATTGACTGATAACAGATGGCAGCACTGTTTGCAGTTGAGGTATTCACGACACAGTACTAATTTGAAACTAGCCAATCAATGTTCTATACGAAGTTTTAGATGCAAATGACAGATGGAACCACTGTGACTAGTTCCTAATTATCAAGGTTGTATTTAAAAAGATACTTTGCTCAACTCTATTTTTACAAACTATGTGGCTTCGTCTTATGCCAGCCTCGTTAGTTAAGTATGTACTTGAAATTGCATCTGACAAGCATAGAATAACCTCAAAATAGGTTCTCAGGACTGAAAAAGTATTAATGATATATTCCATTTTTAATTTTCAGCACTTAGTTGCTGTCGAAATATCACATTTGGTACAGTCCCAAATGTAGTCTATCAAATAAGTCTACTGGCTTTATACCGGACACATAATACTGTACACAAAATTAAACTCGAATACAATTTTCAAACTTTTATTATAAAATTAAATTATACTTACATACTATATATAATAAGTTATAGGATTAAGCAAAATATAAAATCTATAATAATTTTAATATAAAATATTTTTGTAATACCTAGCCGTATAATTATATACGTTATATGCTTAAGAAAGATCACACTGACTAGATTGCCACACCCCTCGTCTGTTTTCAATTAGTTTTGTCATTACAGTGATGATAACTGGTCGTTTTGTATATATATATAATATACCTAATAATATATATAACTTATAAATTATATAATAAAATATATATACAAATATCATGGTATAAATAAGGTAAATATCATAATGTGTACACTTAATAAATATAATAAGTATTATGCAATAATACCTAATAATATTAAGATAAAGTTATAAATACTACAAAATAGAAATTAAAATATATATTCCATAAAGTATAGCGATATTAATAAATATTATAAATACATATATTACATAAATAAATATATATGTATAATATATAAGTTATATAACCAGTAACATCACTATAATGGTAAACAATAAAGTTTTAGTTAATCACAATACAAAAAACATTTTTTTATCGGGAATCACGGAAATGCCACCATCGCTATGCAATTACGAATTGTTCACATTCAATTTGTTAGTATGTCAATAAATCCATTAATCTGGGCCAAAACGAAATATATATAAAGTAATATCAATATATACACAATGTTAATTGTTAATCTGGAGCAACGAATTATTCATAGGAAATATAAATGAAATATATTTGATAAATAAATATATAGAGTTAGTGACAGGAAATAAATAAAAATATATAATGCAAGTGTTGAATAGATTTGGTAACTTTTAATTAATTTTATCTAACCTATCTACGATCTATATCTATTATATATTTAAATAATTATAATAATATTATTCAATTATACTTATAAATAATTTATTAATTACATCTAATAATTCTTTGGTAAGCTAGCTGTGTTCATGAGCATTAGTATAATTCCGAAATATTTATATAATTATTTCGGATCGCTATTAATATTCGATTTATATACATAGCGTAAATTAATCGTGTAATGTATAAATATTAAATTATAATACAGTTAATCTTATTAATAATACGTAAATATTGTATATCAGGTATTATTAACAATTATAAATAATATTTAAGAAAATATAATTTACGTCGTTATTTTCACATCTTAAAACTTGTAATATAAGTAATAATAAAAAATTAATATCAATTTAAGCTAATAGAAGAACATGTTTTACTACGAAGCTTAAATTACGTATAGGAACTTAGTCCCCAAATAAATTAAATTAAAACAAAAAATATGATCGAAACCTACCAATTCTTATTCATTAAGATTTTGAAATAATATTTTTTTACATTAAATTGACAATTTACGAATTATTCAAATACTTTCGTGTTAAGTTAAATTAAATGTATACTCGTGAGATTGCCTTATTACATTCATTGCCATATTACTAATATTAAAATGTGTACTTAATAATAATATATACTCATATATTATATATATATATATATATATATTTACATTATTTTATTATAAATCGGTAAATCCATGATGCTTTTCGATTTCTTGAATGTCATCCAAGTCCTCGGTACCTGTGATGATCTGCAATACCCTGAATGCCTTTGACTGTCTTGGGGGCCCTTCTTGTGTGAACTTATGGTAGTAGACACTGAAAATATATATGTATATAATATGAATATTATTGTTTTAATATGTTTTATTTCGTATTTTAGTTGTAGCATGAAGTAAGTATTAAGTATGATGTTTGTACAGACAATTCAGTTTTATAGGTCAAGAAATATTATTTTAGAATACGATATTTGTGTTTAGCAATGATTCGTTTGCGTTTTAAAATCATGATGATATTTTTTGCGGTTATTTGTTCAAGAAAATACAAAATACAAATCAACCTATTATCAAACAAAATCCAATCGAGTTAAAAGCGCATTTACACCAATAAAGCAACAGGTGTAACCAACAACTTTAGAGAATAGCCGTGACCTGTCGATGGAATATTAGAAATCGTGATGAACCTGCGGTAACCAATTAATTACGGCAACAGCGTTAGGGAATGATTCGATTAGTGGAAAATAAAATTAGAACATGTTGGAAGAGCTGCTAAATATAAAGCAAGCGAAACACTGAGTCACTACGAAGCTGTGCAGTAAAACTGTTTACATTGGACCAGTAGCTCCCTTAATACCGCCCACCGAAGCTGAAACGAGGATAGACAATTGTAATGTGATAGTTATTTGACGGTAATTCACTTGTGTACTATTCGCACATGGCTGTGGTAAATCGTGTATTATTTCATTTTGATTGTATGACTAGTAAGTATATTATGTGTCCACTTTTAGAAAAATTACGACATTTCAATGATTTAAATTCGTAATCGATTACATAACTAGAGTAACTCTGATGTAACATTTAACAACTTTGTGCGCACTGTAAACTAGGTTTTGCCATTTAATAGTTTTAAATAAAAATGCATATATTTACCTCTTGTTCGCCCCTCCGTTGCCACCTTCAATCTGAATCGGTATTATCCTAGTCTTTGGCTGACTGTCTTGGAAAGTTCGGTTCAAGGTCGGCAGGTCTGGCTGTTGGTTTGAGTCTTCTAATCTCACCAGTTGAGGTGACAAAACCCTCATGATGCGCTGAGTAGGTGGTGAGAATGGTGCACGAGCTTGGTCTGGATTCTGATTCATACCAATCGTAATTCTCAGGCCAGGTTGTGGATGACCACCGTGCCTCGAATCCCTAGTCTCCGTCGTTGATACCTCCATCTGAATAGGAATAACTCGTGTTCCTGGGGAACCAGGTCCATTGTCCCTTGGCAAGCTCTTACGGTTTTCTGAAGGTCGCGTTGACCACGATGGTTGTACTGGTTGCTGGTATTTAGGAGGACTGACCACCTCACGGGCACCCCTTTGCATTTCATTGCTCTTTCTAACCCATTCCGGCTCTTGGTTCGTTTCCCGTGGAGGTGTGTTTAGTTCTCTAGAGAGACTCTTCCTACCTTCCAGCGGTCTTTGCACCCAAGTTGGCGGAGGAGTCTTTGTCTTCTCCTTCTGTGTTTTTACCCATGGAGGAATAGACTTCGGACTTTCAGGACAGAAGTAAACAGGTTCCTCATTTACATACACAACCTCCTTTTGTGGAGCATTATTATATTCATGCTGTTGATTTTGTTTCCTAGGCGTCACAGGGATAGACATAGTTGATTGGTAACGAGGTTGTTCCTGTTGCTTGGGTGGTGAAGGTGCTTCATGAGTTCTCCAAGGTGCAGAGTTATTTTCCTGAACTCGATTGTTATTAGAATCCTGAGAATTGTTATTATTGACCCATGGAGGAGTGTACTGCTGCTGTGGTTTACTTTCTTGTTTCCATGGCGGAACGTAAGAGTTCTCGTTGTTAGCATTCGTGTTATTGTTCTGATTTACTTTCCACGGGGGAATGTATTGTTCTTGATTCGAGTTCACGTTATTATAGACTGGTGGTTGATTCTCTTGTTCCCTTGGATGTCTGTTTAGAGTAGCTGTCCTCCAAGGAGCAACATTAGACTCGTTTTGCTGACTTGGTTTCGTGTTGTTGTACATCACATTGTTGTTGTTACTCGGTGCGTCAACGTTTCTCTGTCCAACTCTAGGTAAGGTATGGAACACAGGACCTGAGTTAGAAGGTGGAGTTTGGTTTTGGTAATTAGGAGAATACTGTTGATTGTTTGGCGAGTACTGTTGTGTGTTGGGTGTAAATGGACTACGGTTTGAATGTGCAGACTGTGGACTACTTGTGTTTGCTGGAGAATCCCTTTTCTCCGGTTGCCGCCAGTTGTTGTTAGGGCTAGGTGAATATGGAGAATTGTTTGAGGAAGGTACACCAGCATATGGCTGAGGACTTTTATTAAACTGAGAATCCTGTCTTTGTAACACTTCTCTCGTCGGTGGTGAACCTTGGGGAGAGGAAGAATGCTGGTGAGCATATTGTGCTTCAGGTTTATAGATGGGGCTCTCAGGGTTACGCTGATTACCATAAGGACCACGTTGGAAGTTATTTTGTGAAGGTGGTGTGTAAGTCTGTGGCTGCTGCTGACTAAATGTGGAAGGAGGCATTTTTACCGTCAGAGGGCTTGGGACCTTATCTACATACTTGGGAGTGTTACCCAACTTTTGTAGTTCAGCCTTTTCAGCCTCCCAGTGGTAAGGGCTATTCGTTTTTCGTAACATTCCTATCGGATTTTCTGGAATTACAATTTCGGGGCGTTCACCGAGTGCAACGGGTTTTGGAGATTTTGAATTCGGAGCTTGGATAACAATCGGTGGTGGTGGGGGTGGGACAGGCATTTTAGGTGGTGGGGGTGGTGGAGGAGCCGGTCCTCCTTGTGGGTGGTAGCCGCCATTTGTGGGCTGCTGCTGATGGTGTTGTTGCTGAGCATACTGCTGTTCTTGTTGGTCTTCTAAAGACCGCTGTCTTGCCAGTCTTCTCGCCATGCTTGGAGTGCGAATTTGAGACAGGTCAAGGCCACCTGGTGTGTATGTGAAGGGTTTCTTGTCCTTTGTCATCATCGCATTCTGAATGCATGCTGGCGGCTCGACGGCACCCATTGGCTGGAAATTGCATAATACTAAGCGTTACTTGACGGTCATATTACATTTTTGTCATTCGTTTAAATAGAGGAGGACAATTTTAGCTAACCATCTAATGCAAATTCCAGAGCAAGAGCTAAAAACGTTCTGGAACGCTCATAGAAATAATTAGACATTATTGTTGCGGCTACAAAGACTATAAATAGGATAAGAGAGCAAGCGTTGAATTTAAATCCACACTTTTAAACTTTATTATATAACTCTTAACTTGCCACAATGCTAGGATATCTGCTCAATATCGCACAAACTCGTCATAAAATATCAAAATATGAAACTTACGTTGACATGCGTTTTTCCGAAGTTGGGGATTCTGCCGATGTGTCCGCCTGGACCGTACCTGGAATACAGCCAAAAGTTTGCGTTATTTTTACTTGGTCTGACATCGTGGACACTTGCTTACTGGCCGTCGGGGGCGACTGCTTTAACCTATTCCACTTTTAACCCAGTTATCCGGAAACTCTTGTACGATTATTAAAATAGAATACTTTTATTAATTTTGTATCTGTGTTCCCATTCCTAATATCTGAGCATAAGATTTATGTTTCGTTTGCATGATGTCCGAACTCGTAAACGTCGACATCCATTTTGGAATTCGAAACAATAATACACAACTGTTATTCGTGTTTAATATTTTTCAATGTTTATGTGAATCGTAGCTGGAAAACCGCATTCAAAGTGTACAGATGTTAAAAATATTTTACGTGGAAACGTTTTAAAGAAGTGGAAAATGTCTTACCCGTTTTCAGCCATTTTATTCGATTTGTGATGCAGTCAGCAGTCCATACAACGGTCTCGTTCCTGTGAAATGAGATCACGGCTCGTAAAATGTGTAAACACATGTTTTTCGGAAAGCTCGCCTCTCGCCTCATGATCTACACCATATGCTCAGGTCGGCCAAGGTCGGAAGCTAGGTGAAAGTCTATTTATGGAAACTGGAGCAGTAATGTGATGCAGTTTAGATTCTGCATCTTCAATACTCAGTACGTTCGCCTGGTATTTAGTTTTATGGAGTATGATCATTCCGTAAATTGGTTTTGTTATAAAAAAAATGTTAGGTCTTGTTGGTTACAAGTAAATCTACTTCTTTATAGGTACTTGTGCATTATTTGTATTATCGCAATGATTAAGTCTTATCATCATAACGTCTTTCTCAACTACCCGTCAGTAGATATGTATCTATTCAACATCTGCCTAATACACTGGTCATCTTCATCATTCTAAAAGACCTATTTTAATCTGTCTATATATATACTATACTATATATATATATACTTATACTTTGACGCCTAAATTAAGGGTATAATTTTTGTTGTTTTCTTTTACTTTCTTTTTATTTAATAGTTTAGTTGTAGTTAATTTTAAGTTGTAAATATTTATGTAGTTATATAAATTATGATATTTAAATAAAAATAGTAACAGTCATTAAAGTAAATATGTCTATGAATCAAAACGAGTATTTTACACAAAGTACCTGAGCGCACACTGACACATACCATAGGAGTTACAAATGTGTAAAAAAGAATACGATCATTTTGACGGTCGTATCTGTTCGCAAATACCGTTGGTTCATTTTACAGAATAAGTTTATCGAAAAACAGTTATAAGTAGTTTAATTTCGTCAATTACACTAACAAAACAATCCAGACTTTTTTTTATTTATAACAGTAAACAGTCTACTTTCAATTTAAAAATAACGGTCATCCATAGAGCCAAATATTCCTCATCATTGTCACAGATAATAAACGTCCTAATGATGTTGTAATTAGTCACAGAGGGCGCTGATGCCCATAAACTAATGATGCCAGACATGGTATGTATTGCACATAGAATTTTGGCACTCTCCATATAATTATAGTGCATGGCTTAGAGCCAATTTTATATATAGCACCAAACTGCGCCTTCCCATTCCTACTACATGTATAATCTTCATAGTTCTTTTTACTTTGTATTTGTTGAATAGTTGTTGTCTTACTATTAAGTAATGTACCTACCATACCATAAGCAATGTAGTGATAGCAGAGAAGAATAATTTTGCTATCGTCCCTTTTTTACAAGTTTATTATATCATTATCATTATCATAATTAGCCTTAGACTGCCTCGTTGGCCGAGTGGTTGCAAGTGTGATTGCCGGGCAAGGGGTCTCGAGTTCGATTCCCAAGTCGGGAAAAGCATTACTAGGTTTTTAAAAACCATCCAGTCCTATGTAATAGAGGGTGAGCCTATTGCCATATACCGAGCACAATTACAGACTCCGTGTTACTACTGAGATTTTTTATAAATAATTATACCTATAAACTATTCTTTAATTTGGTAAGTTAGCACCACGAAATTAATTTATAATTTGAAATATGTAGATTTATTTTATTATCTCATTACATTACTATTTTAATGCAGTGTGACAGAAAGTGGGCGTTAAAGAAGATGGCGTGTGTTGCAGTAGTAAAATATATTGCTGTTGTTGTTGTTTTATGTAGGTAGTTATTCCAGGGCCAGTTATTATTGTACATAATTCTTCATGTATACAGAAACAACGCAATACTATGTAGCTCTATTATTGACACTTCATTTTGTAAAAATAATGGTTATTGTTTATTTCTTTTATGCATAAATATAATAAAATTGATAAATTAGCGAAAATCACTACATAGTATAAAACAAAGTCGTTATCCGCCGTCTGTCTGTCCCTATGTATGCTTAGATCTTTAAAACTGCGCAACGGATTTTGATGCGGTTTTTTTATTAGATAGAGTGATTCTTAAGGAAGGTTTGTATGTACAATACATGCGTATTGAACCCGTGCGAAGCCGGGGCGGGTCGCTAGTTAAATATAATATAACTATTATTACTTATGACTTAAAGCAATAAAATTAAAATAATACCAAAATATTAAGGTTTAATAAGAAAATGAAACACTATGAAACTAAAAAATCATTACTACAATCATGAAACACATCTGTATTAAGATATTCAGTTATCAAAGAAAACATAACACATCCGTCCTAAGATTTTAATTACTACAGAAAAAACTACAAACACCAATTCTCTACAAGTACTTTCATACATTCCTAAATATCTCAAGGTCATCGTATACAATCCAGTACGAAAGCTTCGTACCTTCTCACCTGCGCCGGCGCACGGCCCAGTTGCACGTCCTCGGCTAACAATAGTCCGTATGCTGCGCGCGCGCCTCGCCAACGTTATCATAAGTTTCATAACAGTGCATAGTGCGAAGAGTGTGATGAAAGGAAGATGATTTGTACTCTTGATTTCTGTTTAATTATGGTTGTTGATATTCTTATTGGTTAACAGGTACTTTGTAATTTTATCATGACAATGGATAATTACAGAATATTATTCTTATGATCGCCTTATGACTGCCTCATTGGCCGAGTGGTCGCAAGTCCGACTGCTGGGCAAGAGGTCTCGGTTTCGATTCCCGGGTCGGACAAAGTATTACTGGGTCGTATATTGGTTGGTACGCGCAATCCCGTTTTCTCCCATTCCCGTAGGATTTTTAGGATTTTTTCTGTCATAAGAACTCTTCTCCTGACGATAATAAACACAACAAAAAAAAATCAGCCAAATCGGTCTAGCCGTTCTCAAGTTATGACGTGGAACGGGAAACGGGGGAATGAAATAGAGGATAATTATCATTTTTAAAGACTTAAAGAGAACCATGGACAAAGATATACGAAATAATATACGTAACGATATAAAATAGGGTAGAATAAAATAAAATTTTCCAATGAAACCAAAACCTGCTAACTCCTGCCAAGGTTACAGGTACTTTTATATTGAGTGCAATGCTTTCCCGTAACGACCATTTAAATCATTTGGCATTATCGTAAATAGCTGTCGTTTTTTTTTTTTTTTTTAAGGGGGGAAAATCATCGAATGACTGCCCCCACCTGGGTGAGGCGGGAGGGAGTGTCAGACTCTTACTGACTAAAAACCACCCCGTTCCTTCTCCTGCACGTCGAGCCGGAGCCCCGGTTACCCGTTAGGTTCTCCGCGACTCCGTATCGGCATCGGCCCTATTGGGCCCCATCTGTGGTGGTCTGATGGCTCTTTGAGGCGCGCGCGGAACGCGACGCGCCGCACGCTCGGGTCTGTTTCTGGTCGGACGGGGAGCCACCCATGCTCGCCGTCCGCAGGCCCGCGCTTACGGTGGCCGGAGATCGTCCCGCGATCCCCGACGCCCGGTGTGTCCTTCGCGATGGCTGGGTTGCGAGGAGGCAGCGCTTCGCTGCCTCACGCGTCCCGCCTCCTCCTTAGCTAGCATGACTGCTTCGCAAAAGGAGGAGACGGCATCCCAATCCCCCTCGCTCCGCATCATGGCCTGCACTAGGCCCGGACGCGAGAGGTCGCCATCGCCGATCACTTCCCTGAGGACACGGCGGTGCTCAGCCCACGAAGGGCATTCTCCCACCGTGTGTTCCACCGTGTCCTCAGGGCGGTCCTCGCAGTGATGACACCCGGGCGTTTCCTCCCGCCCCATCAGACACAGGTACCTCCCGAAACTGCCATGTCCGGTGAGGACCTGCGTCAGGCGGTAGGTGAGGACGCCGTAGCGTCTCTCAAGCCACTCCTCAAAGAGGGGACTTACCGCTGCGATGGCAGCGAGCCCAGCCCTCGGTTGCGACAGCCGTTGCCGCCATTCCGCCATGAGATCGCGCCGGAGCTCATCCCGCCACGCACTTATCTGGCGCGGCAGCGGAGTTTCGCCCCGGCGACGTGCCTCCGCGCGCATGCTGTGCACGCGCGCGAGCACCTTCGCCTCCAGATCCCACGGCGGTAATCCGGCAAGGAGGTTCGCCGACTCCCCAGAGATCGTGCGGTATCCGCGGATCATTCGGATCGCCATGACCCTCTGTGCCATGAGCAGCGTCCGAGCGGGACGCCGCAACAGGTTAGGCGCCCAAACAGGGGCGCCGTAGAGGGCCATGGACCGCACGACCCCGGCGAAATAGCTGTCGTTACAAAAACCCGGAACCAAAAATAATGTTAATCGAAGCCACTAAATAGATTTCGAGCCGAATAAATACTGCAAATTATCATTTAGGCTTTTAAAGCTTTTGTTCTTGGTACAACTACGAACAAAAATATTCTTTATAAGCATAAAACATTAATTTCGTAATATTTAACATACATACATAACATCACGCCTTTTATCCTCGAAGGGGTAGGCAGAGGTGCACATTATACCAATGCACAATGTAACACCCACTTTTCACTATTTATGTTATGAGTCCCATGTAATAGGGGGTGAGCCTATTGCCATATACCGGGCACAGTTCCAGACTCCATGCTACTACTGAGAATTTTTTAAAAACCCATTAATAATTTGCCCGACCCGGGAATCGAACCCGAGACCCCTTGCTCGGCAGTCGCAATTGCGACCACTCGGCCAACGAGGCAGCTTAATAGGTTACATTTTGTTAAAAGGTATGATATGTGATATATGTCATATGTGATGGGGTTGGCATATCAAAGAAAAAAACCCTTAATAAAAAACAGATTTAAAAAAATCCAATGAAACCAAAACCTGCTAACTCCTGCCAAGGTTACAGGTACTTTTATATTGAGTGCAATGCTTTCCCATAATGACCATTTAAATCATTTGGCATTAGCGTAAATAGCTGTCGTTACAAAAACCCGGAACCAAAAATAATGTTAATCGAAGCCACTAAATAGATTTCGAGCCGAATAAATACTGCAAATTATCGTATAGGCTTTTAAAGCTTTTGTTCATGCTACAACTACGAACAAAAATATTCTTTATAAGCATTAAACATTA